ATTTCAACTAGGTATTGATATTTACCTATTGTCAGGTTGTAACAATGATTTGTTCAAGAATTTCTTTTTCCTCACTTTGGAAAGTCGGGGTTTTGACTGCATTATTTTTAAACATTGGCTGTTTGATTTATTAATCCCTATCTACTATTTTAACTGATATTTCTCCCCCAATGATTGATGGAATGGCATTAGATATCCATTTGAGCTTCATTGATATTCAAAGTCATGCCCTTTCCCTTTGCTCGTTTCAATTATGCTAGTTGTTTCATATGTGTTGCAGCATCAGATTAGTAAATAATGCTTTGTTATTCAGCTTTGATAAAATTTTCAACCCTTCATTACTCTTCGAGAGAAGTTTTTGTTGAAACCTGCAACAAGGTAGGTCCTGCTTAAACTTGAACAGTTTTATTTCAACTATTCTGTTCTTTGCTAAAATGAATATAATAGCAAGATGCAGTCCTATGCTTACTCTATTGGCACTGCAGTTGCTAGTCTACACTATCCCTAGCAAACCAAATAAATCTCACACCCGTCAAACATAGAGAAATTCCTTTCAGTTGAAACCCACAAAATCTCTAGTTCCTGTGATTTCAGATCTTCATTGAATTTAGATATGAACCTTACCCGTGAGAAAACAATTAATTTTTTAGTTAATTATATTATTATAATCTGTATATTTATATTTGTATATCTAGAATTAAGTATTTGTATCTCTAGAATTAAAGATAAAAAATTATGATAGACAATTTCTTAATTATATGATCAGTTCAGAAAAATTTAGTTTCCTAATTTAACCACTAGTTAATTGTATATAAATCTAAAGTGTTTTTATAATTATTTATGAGCAGTTTTTTAATATACATTCAGTTTTTCATATAGTTTTATTTCTTAATTTTTTCACATGGTATCAAAGCTTTAGGCTCTTTTTTGAAAAAAAAAAATTTTAGCCATCATTGCTGAATTCTATTTCAAGCCTTTATAGCTAAATCTTGTTAAATATTTTAGTCTTATTTTTTCCTTATGTAGCTTTCATTGCTTAGAATCGCCTCTAGTTAAACCTTTACTATAAAGACTTGTTTTGATCTTGAGAAAGATAATTGTACTAGAGATTCCTGAATTTACCACCACTATCCTATTTGAAGAAGTGATAACTAGTAAAACCACCAGAGTACTATAGAAGTTTCGGGAATAAAAAGAGTTGGATAAAAAAGAGATTGAGAAACTAATAAGCCTAAACTTTTGAAAAGCCTATTGGGGTATATTATTTCGGTAAGATCTCTAGTCAGGTAAAGCTTTTAGTTTTCATAGATTAAATATCTCGGTTAAGCCTATTACGAGTTCTTGGGCTATTAACTCAGGAACCATAAATCACATGATATATTTCTCACAAAAATTTAGCACATATACTTTGTATCTTAGTAATAAGAATATTATTGTTGCAAATGGTTCACTTAATATAGTGGTATGATTAGGGGATGTTCAAATTAATCCCTCATTTGTTCTTAAAAATATTTTTCATATTTTTGGATTGTCTGCTAATCTGATATTTATACAAAAACTTACTAGAGACATGAATTGTAAAATGACTTTTTATTTCTAATATTGTGAATGTTAGGATTAGAATTCAGGGAAAAAGATTGGACTTCCTAAGGAGAATGATGGACTATACAATCTTGAAACATCAAACAACATAAGTAATATTAAGAATAGTTTACCTTTATAATTTCTTTATGAAAAATCTCTCGATAAAGATAAAATCTAACTTTATCATTTTCATCTTGGATATATTTTTTTTTTAACTTTGAAAAACATGTTTTCTTCTTTGTTTAAGGGATTAAATATAGAAAATTTTCATTGTGATATTTGTAAACTTGCAAAGCATAGACATGTGTCTTTTCTAGTTAGCAATAAAAGAAGTTATACTACTTTTTACTTGATTCATAGTGACATATGGGATCCCTCTACAATTTCAAATAATTTTAGTGCAAGGTGATTTATTTTTTTTATAGATGATTGTATCAAGATCTCTTAGATATTTTTATTTAAATCTAAATCAGATGTGAATAATGTGTTTTTAAGCTTTCAAAACATGATCCAAAATCAATTTGGAGTGAAAATCAAAAGCCAAAAAGAGGAGATTATCCATGAGTCATCTTATGTTAATAGTCAATAGTAGAATGGAATAGCAGAGAGAAAAAACAACCATTTACTAGCCACAATATGAGCTTTACTTTTTCAAGTAAACATACCCAAATCTTATTGAAACAAAACTGTTCTCGCTACCACACTTATTATAAATAAGTTACTTTCAAGGGTTTTAAGATTTAAAACTTTTATGAAATTACTCTTATGATTCTATCCTAACTTTAATACCATAAACAACCTCACACTTAAGATATTTGATTGTGTATCATTTGTTCATGTTCACAGTCATAATAGGGAAAGTTGGATCTTAAAGCAATTAAATATATTTTTATGGGGTATTCATTAACTTAGAAAGGTATAAGTGCTATTAGCCTCATATTAAAAAATTTTATGTGTCTGTAGGTGTCATTTTTTGATAAAGTAAATAATTTTTTACCTAACCTTATCTTCAATGAGAGACTTCATTCATAAAAGATAATGATAAAAATTTCTTTTTGCTTGCTTTGTCATTCTCTTCAACATTTTCATCCATTAATTCTTCTAAGTATAAACTTATTTTTTTTTAGTCTAAGTCAAACTCTGAATTTGAGTCTGAACCCTTTCTAAACGTAGAAAATGTGACAAAAGATAATAGTATTCTTGATTTTATAAAAGAATTATAAGTGTACTCAAGAAAAAAAGTTTTAGATCCTGAATAAGTGCAAGTCCAAAAACCTAATCCTAACTTTGGAAATAAGGTAATTATGATCTTTGATTCTGTTCTTCAAAATAAACATGAATCTCCTAAAACTATAACTAATGATTATTATCTACCTATTGCCATTAGAAAATGAACCAAAAAATATACTAAATATCCACTATACACAATCTCTAATTTTATGTCATTTGAAAAATTCTCATCATCTCACAAAAAAATTTTTATAAGCCTAAATACTATTTCTATTCTAACTACATTATCTGAGGCATAATCCAGTGATAAATAGAAACAGGTCAAGAAAACAGAAAATTGAAGCCTTAAAAAAAATAAGACAAGAGAACTGGTAAAGTTACCTAAAGAAAAAAAATCTAGTTAGGTGTAAATAGATTTTCACTGTAAAATATAAAGTGGATGGTACTATTAAAAGGTATAAAATCAAGTTGGTGACTAAAGGCTACAGTCAAACTTATGAAGTGGATTATTAGGAAATTTTTGCTCCAGTTGCCAAGATGAATACAATTAGAATTTTGTTATCGTTGGCTGTAAATTACAATTGAAAACTTTAATAATTTGATGTAAAGAATACTTTTCTACATGGTGATTTGGAAAAAAAATTATATATGAAGGTTACACTGAGATTTGAAAGTTATCTAAAAGCAAACATAGTATGCAAGCTAAAAAAAGCTTTATATGGCTTTAAACAATCTCCTATGACTTGGTTCGAGAGATTTCCCTAAGCGATTCTAGCGATGAGATATAAGTAGAGTTAATAAAATCACACATTATTTATTAAGCACTTTGATTTAAGGAGAGTTATAGTTTTATTAGTATATATTAATTATATAATTATAATCGGAGATGATGAAAAAGAGAGAAAATCTCTAAAATAATATTTGGTTAGAGAATTTAAAATAAAAGAGCTAGGGAGATTGAAATACTTCATAAGAATTGAAGTAGCTCACTCATGGCATAGTATTTTCATCTCACAATAGAAATATGTAATTAATCTTTAGAAGAAAATTAGGAAGATCGCATGTAAACCTACAAATATCCCTATAGAACTTATCATAAACTTGAAAAAATTAATGAAGATGCTTCTGTAGTTATAGAGATGTACCAAAGATTAAGCGAAAAACCCATTTATCTCTCATATAGTAGACCTTATATAGCATATATTGTGAATGTGATAAGTCAATTTATACATAGTCTTAAAAAAGTGTATCTACAGGTTATCTATCGTATACTACACTATTTGAAGGTCAATCTTAGGAGAGGTATTTTATTCAAAAGACATTCAAGGCTAGTTTTAGAGGCATATACAGATGAAGTTTATATAGGTTCAGTAATTGATAAAAGATTTACCTTAGGTTATTGTACTTTTTTATGTGATAATCTTGTGACTTGGAAGAGTAAAAATAAAACGTGATAGTAAAATCAAGTGTTGAAGCAAAGTTAAGAGAAATGACTCAAGGAATTTGTAAGCTACTATGGTTAAAAATTACCTTAAAAGACTTAAAGATCAAGTGTAATAGACCAATCAGACTCTATTATGATAACAAATTTACAATAAGTATTGCACATAATCTTATACAATATGACAGAATAAAACACATTGAAGTAGATCGATATTTTATAAAAAAAAAATTAAATAATTGGTTGATTTGTACACCGTATGTATCAACGAAGGGTCAATTTGTAAATATATTGACTAAAAGTTTCAGCAGTGTAACATTTCAAAAAATTATTTTCAAGCTGGGAATAAAAAATACATATTCACCAGCTTGAAAGAGAGCGTAAAAAAATACTTATTTACAATTGGTTGTAATATTGTAATCTATATATTTATATTTATATTTTTAAAATTAAATATTTGTATCTCTAAAATTAAAGATAAAAATTATAATAAATAATACCTCAATTATATGATAAGTTTTAAAAAAATTTAGTTTTCTAATTTACTCATTAATTAGGTGTATATAAATTTAAAATGTTTTATAATTCTTTATGAATAATTTTTTCAATATATATTTAATTTTTTACATAATTTTATTCTTAATTTTTTCACATTTTCATTTTTTCTTATTAAGTTTGGAAAATGAGTAAAAAAAAAAAAAAGTCTTTTGAGTTTTTAGCTTGTAACAAATGGCAACAATAAAACCAAACCTTTGCATTCACTTTCACTTTCACTTTCACTTTCACTTTACCATAGACCTTCTGTTATCATTTTCTCGTTAAACTATTCAATAAAAACTCGCCAAGTTATCTAAAGTCAACTCATCCTAACTGAGAAGATGACGTGGCACCCATTCCTTTTGTCCCCTTGTAATTACTAAGCAAACGGCAACACCTGAGTTTCCGTCAAACACGTTTTGGCCTTGTACACTTGAGGTTACTAGCTTTTCTGTTTGCTTCTTTCTCTCTCGTATCACTCCTTTGAGAGCTATACAGCAAAAGCTTCAGTTTTTCTGCTAAATATGGCTGGGAGAAAGCAAAGGAAGCTTAAATTGTAAGCTTTTTTTTGTCTTCTTTAAGTAATCAAGTGGGTTAACTTTAGCATTTTTTTAATTAGTATTTTAATTAAAAAAAGGTAACTTTTCGTTGCTTATAGTTAGGGTTTCATGTAAATGACATTTGGATTTTAGTAATTAGAGTCTCTTGAGTGCTTAATATGAGATAAAAATGTGTTTTTTATTGAATAATGATGTCGAATTATGCAAAATTATAATCAAAATTGAAACCTTTGCGTTGGGGCTGAATTGGGTTTTTTTTTTATGGATATCTTTAGGAATAATTCAGGTTTTTCAGAATTAGAGCAATTTGAAGGGTTTGGTAAAGTTTCAATGTGTTTATTCAACTATTGGTCAATTTGGTTTTTGGGAAATTGCAGTGATAGTTGTGCATTTTGATGGTTTTCTAAATGGGTCTTTGCCCATGCTCAGAAATTATTTGAATGTCTAGGAGATTAGAGCAATTTAATATTGATTGATTGTTCATGTATTGTTTTGGTTCATGTTGGAGTAGTGAGTTTGTAGTTTGAGAGTTGAGTCAAAGTTTGGATATGTTTAATTTCTTGGTTTTGTGGTTAAAATCCGCATCTATGATTTGTGATCACAGGATCGTGTTGCTTTTCAGAGTTCTGAGCTATTAATCATTCGGGATATTGTGGATGACTAATGCTACACAGTTAAAGTTGATTAAAATACAGTTGAATTGAATTCAATATTGGGGTATTTCAGCTCTAATGTAACTTCAGTTCAATTGTTTCACTGAATTTTAGTAGTGTTTTTGAGTTTTTATCCCATGTTAAGTTCATGAGTCACTCATTTGCATACCGTATACTGTAAATGGAGGATAAAAATGTAAAGCTATTTTACAATTTGCAACTTCTTCTAATGTAGTTTTTACTGGCTGTAGGCATCTACCAATAATGTTTGAGATTTTCGTTGAGGATTTGGTAAAGTATCAATGTTCTTCTAAACTAAGACCAATTAAATTTCATGAAATCATGATAGAATTTGAGTTTTTTATGAGATTTTGAGATTTAGGGATTAGAAAATCACTGTTTGATTGGTTGTTTTGTGTTGTTTCAATTAGTCCTAGAATTATAGTTCCAAAAGCTGGGTTGAATATATAGAGATCTCACTTATCAAAAAAAAAATTATAGAAATCATTTTATCATGATGCATTTCTTGGTTATGAGCTGTTGTGTTTTAGGCTAAACAACAAAAATATGACTTTTTTTTTGTTCATGATAGGAATATGACTTGAATGGTAGGTAGTGTTGGATTGAATGGGAGTATGAAGCATTTTGGATGTTTCATACTTGTAGCTTCTAATTGCACTGAATGAAAAGTTGACAACCAAAGGTTGTTGTTTCTTTCCTACCTGGACTGTTGGTTTGGATTTCCCCCTGGGGTCAGGAGGTGTCCGATGGTTTAGTCAAATAAGTATTTTATTGGGTATATTATCTTAAGTTCATTAGTGGGATTTTAGCATGCAGCATGTAATAAACGGAAAATCAAAATATGCTTTTTTATTTGGCCAGTCAAATTAGCGTCTTTTAGTTTTTGTGTACGTTGAAATGCAGAAAGAATTGAATTCTGAACTAGTTATAAAGCTGTCTGACTTAGTGGAGCATTTAGGGTCCTTTGCTGGGTTTAATTGTGAGCATTGTATCACTTTGTAATATTTATAGCTGATGAAGGCGTTTTAATAACAATAATCCTTTGGGCTGTATAGGTTATCTGAAACAGCAAATGGGGATGAAAGAACGGCATCTGAAAAGGGGAGGGAGAGATTGGAGCCGCAAACATGGTCTGATCTTCCTGTAGAACTTTTGGAATTGATTATGTCCCACCTAAAACTAGAGGATAACATTCGAGCATCTGCTGTCTGCAAGTGGTGGCACAAGGTTGCAATTTCTGTCCGGGTTGTGAATCAATCACCGTGGCTAATGTACTTTCCAAAATATGGTAACTTGTATGAGTTCTATGATCCGTCAGAGCGCAAAACCTACTCCATTGAGCTTCCAAAGTTGCATGGATCCAGGGTTTGTTACACTAAAGATGGTTGGTTGTTGCTATACAGACTCAGAAATCACCGAGTATTCTTCTTTAATCCCTTCACAGGGGAGAAGATTAAGCTTCCTAGATTTGAGTTGACATATCAAATAGTTGCCTTCTCTTGTGCCCCAACATCTACCAGCTGTGTGGTTTTTACAATTAAGCACGTCAGTCCTACCATTGTTGCTATCAGCACGTGCCATCCTGGGGCATCGGAGTGGGCCACTGTCAATCACCAGAATCGCTTGCCATTTGTTAGTAGCATCTGGAACAAACTTGTATTCTGCAATGGAATGTTTTATTGTCTTAGTCTCACTGGTTGGTTAGGGGTTTATGATCCACTGGAGCATACTTGGAGTGTTCTTGCTGTGCCTCCACCGAGATGCCCGGATAACTTTTTTGCTAAAAATTGGTGGAAGGGAAAATTTATGGCAGAGCACAATGGAGATGTCCTAGTTATCTATACATGTTGTGCTGAGAACCCCATTATATTTAAACTGGATCAGTCAGAAAAGGTATGGGAAGAAATGCAAACCCTGGATGGTCTGACACTATTTGCAAGTTTCTTGTCATCTCATTCAGGAACTGATCTCCCTGGAATAATGAGGAACAGTATCTACTTCTCTAAAGTTCGTTTCTTCGGAAAGCGCTGCATATCATACTCGCTTGATGACTGTAGATACTATCCCCGTAAACAGTGCTATGACTGGGGAGAGCAAGACCCCTTTGAGAACATATGGATCGAACCACCCCAGGATGTCTCATCCTTCATCTGAAGAACACTAGTAGTACAAGTGAGTATGTTTGAATGAAGCTTTTACAACATACTCGTAATATATATTTATATTTATATATATATATATATATATATATATATTTTGCAGAATCAGTGGAATGGCTATTGATGCTTGCTGTAGAATAATTGCTTATGGATGACTTGATTATTTATTAGAATATCCATGTTTTGTAGAACTCCATTGATGCTCTCTATATTTCGCGGAAGCACTTTGTTGTGCTTCTCTGGATTTTTTTTTTTTTCAAATATGAATGCCATCCGTGTAAATTGATCCAAAAACAGCACAGTTGATCATATGTAATTTAAATTCTTAATCTTTTATTAGTTTAATAAAGCAGTGACTAAACTTCATATTTGTCGGTATCTGTATGTGATTTCTGTTTTAGATATATAAAGGAGTGGTATAAGACCCAAGTTAATGGAGTTAGCTCTTGAACTGAAGCTTCAATGAAGTAGAGTTCATGGAAGAAGGAAGTTTAATTCATTTTCTGGATGAAATTTAAGCAGCAGACACGATTGAGTTCAATCACTTGGTTGGTTTGAGTCTAAGATCCGGTTCCACATTTGTTGGGAGAAAAAAAAAATACCGTTTAATACAAATGAAACGGGCAATTTGAGTTAGCCGTTGGAATTAGCACCAAAGAAATATCAGTAAGTTTTTCGACAGCTACAAACAACTTGCCATCAATTGAGTAAACAAAAACTACTGGCTTGTCTTAGCGTCAAATATAACTCAAAGCAGATTCCTTTCTTTCCTCTTATAGCCTCAGGTTACAGAAGACATGGAATTGGAAACTAAATTAATATGGATTATACCGACTGCGTCCTCGACTGCGGTCACTGCTGCCGCGCCTTCCACCACTTGAGCTACCACCACTGCCACCACCCCTGCTGCTATGGGGCTGCGGTGGAGGGGTGTGTGGTTGCATTTCAGGCTGTTGCCTGCACAAAAATAAAAACAATTTCTTAAGTTAGTGCGATGATCCAGAACTAAGAAAAAGAGTCAAGAATATGTATGCCTATAACTACTGCAAATCAGTCCACTAATATAAGCGGCAGGGACAAAGAATAACGTGCATTGGTTTGTCCACAAGTCAAATGTCAATTTGGTTCCCTATTAAAGTGGAAGAAAAATAAAGAAATGATCAGGTAGTAGATTGTGCATGTATGTACATAGACACATACGCCAACCACCACACAAAAAAAATAAATAAATAAATAACACTTGTGCATGCATATACGAACGACTCATAACACAGGCTCACAGGATCTGCAACTGACTACAAAAACGTGGTTAAAACTTACAGGACATATCCAATCCTTCCATCAGGCAAAAGCATTGGCATCATCGCCATTCCAGCAGGAGTTGGACCACGACCATAGATCAGTGGCTGCAAGATTTTAACATAAATTTCAGCTAAACATTATAAAACATGCTAAATTTGCAAAAATAAAAAAATAATCAGGCATATACAGAAGAACCTTTAAAATCTCTGGCCTCTTAAGCATATGTCTTTGGAAGATCAACAAGTGATAGTGGCATATTATACTGAGAACCATTGGCAATGTATGTCTTGCTGTTAATAAATTACAAATAATGTCCACTCACATGAATACTGTTTATCATAGGATATTTGTTAACTTGTTATAAGAAATGAACTTCTTATGTCGAATGATGGCTTTTTTTGTTCTTTATTAAGTGCAATGTTCCTTTCCGCTCTTGAAGAGAGTAAGAGGTAACTAGCAGGATAAAACCAGTGCCCACTATACACAGATTACAAAGAACAGAGGTACATGCCAATTTAGATTAATCACCGAATCATCTTGTCCAGAAATCAAAGATTACTTCATCTCACTATAAAGGGTGTGTCTGGTTCCCAGAACCTCATAATCAATCTGTAGAGATCTGAAATCTCTCAAAACATGAGCAAATCTTGCAGGTTCCACTTATAATTCAATGCAACTTAAAGTCAATAATCCTAGGATTGCAATGAGCAAACAAACAAAGAGAGAATTTATGACTCTTAAATTATCCAAAAGAGCACGGTCTTTTAAGCAGTATACAAATTGTTTCTCTGAAAAATCTGTCAAACTATTTCCTTTCCCAACTGTCTCCATTGAAACAGTAAGAAATAAGCATATAAGGCTGCAGTCTGGAGATCAAAGTGAAAAAAAAGCATCTCACCTGTCCAAAGCCTGCAGGACCAAATCCTGTTCCAAGACCACCATATGCTCCCCCAATTAGACCATATCCTAGAGGAGGTATCAAGCTTGAATTTAAGGTTGACTTCTGTGAGCCAGATCCTCCATAAGACTTCTGATCTGCTTGTGGTTTTGCAAGAGAACACTCCAATACTCGACCTGTCAATAAGAGAAAATTATCATCAATTATGCCCTTCATTTCCAAGAAAAATATGGGAAGTTGATGACAGATATAAGGTAAAAGAAGCATATCCTACCATCAATCTCATATTTTTCAGTGTTCTTCAATGCTTTCATAGCACTTGACCTCTCTGCAAAATGCACAAAACCATATCTGCTCTCCTCCTTTCCTGCTTTTGCAGGTGGAACTACAACTTTTGTGATCTTTCCATGATGTTCAAACAGCTTCTTTAGGCGATCCTGAGTTATATCTTTCGGTAAATTCTTGACATACAATGCCTTAATCTGCATCAAGTCAAAACATTATGATAAACAACTCTCCATGAACATCATTCAGCCAAATATGGCCATCATTGAATCATAGATTGGAAAACCTGAGTAGAAGCAGAAGATTCTGCATTTCTTGGGTCAGCCCAGCTCACGGTTGGAGCATTATTGTCAAGCTGAAATGTTGGTTTCGACATTTTCTGTCTTGAGTATTCAGCACATGCATGATTATAGTACTCAATGAAAACATATCCACGGTTTCGGCTGGGGTTCATTGGATCCTGTCATGTCAAGAACAAGCTACCAATAAGTAATATAAATCGGAACATAAGTAATGGAACATTACAATAGATCAGTCTCTTAAACGGTGAAGTGACAAACAACATAAGCACTAATGCACAAACCTTCACCATTTCAATACAACTAACTCCAGGCCCAATCTCAGTTACAACCCTTTTCATATCTTCCTCCCCCCAGTTTCTGGGAACATTACCAATGAACAACTTATTCTTTGCTTGAGATGTTGAACATTTTATCTTCTTCCCCTGAAGAAGACAAAAGGAATAAGCAAGAAAACTTAAATAAGATTCAAGGGAAAAATAATTGAAAAAGAAATGAAGCTATTTTTCATGCACAGATATTCTTAGGAAGCAAAAAGGGGAGAACAAATGTATTGGACACAAACAAATACCAGCATATCTAGTAATGTTAAGCCCTACTAGAATCTGTTGACACAAAAGGAAATGCATTCTTTATCACCTTTAATTCGGAATTATTAAGTTTTTCAATAGCTTTGGAAGCCAACTCTTTGGATCTGAAGGTCACAAAAGCATAACCTTTGGCCTCCCCTGAATCTTTCCCCTTCATTATCCTCACCTGTAGTCATTACATTTGTATCTAGTCAGTATAAATAAGAAAAGTACAGCCAGGACATTGAAAAGTTAGCAATGTTACCTCGGTGACTTCTCCTATAGATTCACAAAATCTCCTCAAATCCTCTTCGGAAGCATCATGAGGAATGCTACCAAGGTAGACCTCTGATCCATGAGGAGGAAGTGCAAGAAGCTCTGCATGCTTCTTTTTCTTTTCTTCCTGTGTCTCAGAATCATTAATCTCCTCATCACCATCAGAACCCTTTTGCACATCAGCAAGCTCAGCATTCTCCTCCTCTTCTTCCACCTCCTCTTCTATCTCTTCCTCAACTTCCACTTCCTCCTCTTCCTCTATTTCTTCATATTCAACCTCTTCCTCTATAGTCTCCTCAGGTTCATTGTCTCCATCAAGGTCCACCTGCTCTTCACTCTCTTCCCTTGTCCTTGACATTTTATGGTATCTAATAAAGCAAGCTTCCAAGGCAACTGTGAAGGAAGCACAGAAGCCAGAAGCATTGACAAAAGAAAAGAGTACAAATGTGGAAAGGAGGAAACAAAAATGAGAGGCCAAATGGAGTTGCAGAATAAGAATCTCGATTGAATCTGTGCCATGAAGATAATATGGCTTCCAAGGAGTCGCAACGTGAATGATTCCACAAAAAAAATAGTAACAAAGACAGGCAAAGAAAGTTCTGAATGATAATCAAGAGGATTCCGATGCTCAACAAAGTGAAATTCTTGAAATTAGATAATAGATACGGACAATTGCCCAAAAAATGGCCAGTTTTATCGTTTAATTATATATCTGGGAAAACGCATTCACCAAAGGGGAAAAGGGAAGAAAAACAAAAAGCCAAAAATAAGGAATGAGAAATTGAACTAAAACTCACAATTATATAGAAATAGAAGGAATACAATAAGAGATTTCAGCAAATGAGCAAAAACAATTACTATTTTATGATAATGACGCAATGAACAAAGAAAATAGATAATAAGGTTTATTAATTGATTTACCACTGCCACTCTCCATCTTTCAGTTTCAATCCATGTTGCACTAATTTACGTATATATATCTCTAATATAAAGTCAACCGACACAGAGTTATGAGATATAAGGCTTAATTTATTGTTATTGTATCTCTACTATATAAAGTAAATATACAGGCTCTTTTTTTTTTTTATATATTAAGCAATTTATAAAATCATGACTCCTCCATTGATTACGATGCTAGTTCAATTTTCAACAACAAATTTACGAAATTTTAAACATAGAAACGACGAAAAAAAAAATCAGTAAACCTACAAACCATTTCGAATTCAATATAGCTGGAAACCTTAATTAAGGGAAAAAAAAAACTGTTAAACATTCAGTATTCAGCGCAAAGAAGAAACTCGAAGACAAATTTAAAAAAAGAAAGAAAAAAGAGCTTACCGAGCCCGAAAATTTGAAGAATTGGAGGGAAACCCCAGCGAAGAAGGACGAAGGATTTTGTTGAGGAAACCCTAATTTTTAGTTTCAGAGAGGAGAAAGGAAGGAAGCGGGCGCTTTAATTTCGCGGGCCTTCGTATTCGAGTTTGTGCCCTAAAATGATATTTGCACTCCGTAGCCTTTTAAAATAAAACCAAAAAAAAATCGTTTTCTGTAATAGAATCGGTGGGCGGCCGCCGTTATATTTTTAATTTATTATACTGGAGGTGCTAGCTGTCTTCACAGGTAGGGTACCAAGTGGCAACTGCTAAGTTCGATAATGTTGTTTAACTCCAAGCCTCTCTAGGCCCAACTCCAACCGATCTCTTTATTGTTTTTTTTTTTAGGGTTAATTTAGAAATAATTTGATTTATCCTTATTTTTTTCTTCCCCGTGATTATATAGCCAATTTTACTTGCTATAAATTGTTATCTTAATGCTCTATTCCGAAGCAATTTTGGAGACTGGGATTAATTGGTTATCTATTTTTTGTTTTATCAAATTAGTTATAGTTAGTAATTTTATTCCAAATTGAGAATGAACCAAACTGTGAATGGAAAGATAGGCTGAGATTGACCTCCTCTTTGCCAATCCCAATCACAAATTTTATGTCTTATCAACTTTCGATGATAAGATAACGATGATAAGGTAGTGGTCTACTATGAGATGATGAGTAACAAAAAATTAAAATTCGATTTTGAAAAGGGAGCTTGGGAAACAACTACCACATTTAAAAAAGATACCCAATCTTGACACTGAAATTCCATAAATATTTCATCCGAAAGTTCGAAACAATTGGAATTTTTTTGGAGATTGGATGCAGTTACTAAGTCTGCCCACCAGGCTTGTAAGTCTTCTTCCTCCAATAAAACCTGCTCTACTGAATTGAGCAATAAGTTTAATATGTCTACCAGTTTACGTGAACATATTAATTTTCTAATGTCTACTCTGACGGCCTTAATCATTTACGCCTACAATAAAAAACAATGAACAAGCTTGCTAAAATCTCACAACATCCAAATCTCAGACTGCTTTTAGATTGATACAAATCTTTAACATAAAATTCACTTGTAAACAATTCAGTTGCAACTTGAATATTATAAAATCATCTTTGCTCATCGACATATGAATGTTCCACATTATTCCATCTTGATTGGGGAGTTTTTCATTAACAACTAAGAAGTAACAGGAAATAACAAAAACGACAACCAAACTTGAACCACTTGCAAATTTGTAATGACCATATGTTCAAGGCAGCTAGGAATTGTATCATAAAGGTTATAGAATGACAGGACATTTTCATAATGAATTTGAGCATATAACGACAAAAACGACTACCCAGAAGACAAACAATGTAGGGAGACTTCTATGGAGATTATCAACACCTACAACAGTATTTCGTTAGCAATTTCTTTCACACAATTCCACCTATTTATATGGACATAGAATAATGCAAAGTACATTGTTTAGCTCAAAGTTTTTGCCAAGAAAATCTGAAAACGCATCAAAGGAATAGGTGTTTGAACTCTCCATTTGCAAGTTGACAGAGCTGATCATAGCTGGATGCATCTGCCATTATTGAAAAAGGAAAGAAAAGACTTTTCAGAGACAAAAGAACAAAAATAAATTGAAGATTAAAACGTAAGGCTTCAAAGACTGAGTGCTAGCTCAGTGTTGCAGGTAACAAGAACATTTCCATAGTCAAACAATTATAAATAAGTCAAAACTTTACTATTTCACACAGACCCGAGGCAGCATATAATATTGCTTCACTTGACCATTATCAATTACTATTCTGATTCATTCATCCCAATAAACTAACTATTGGAACATGTAGAAGTGCTTGTCCTAAAACCAAACAAGAATTCCATGTCCAAATTAACACGCAAACCATTTTGTTTGAAACTTAAATGCAGTCCTCTATGTAAAAGTGGTCACATTTGCATGGTTCAAAAAGATCTGCTAAATTTCAAATGGAGTAGAAAGGCATACCAAATGTGTCACCAAAGTTGGTCCATATCTCAGCTTGGATGGAATTATCATTCTCAGCAACACCAATAACCTCAACATAACTTGTAAGAGGAACAGGTGGAGTGCCTTTCACAACAAGTTGGCGGTTATCTGTAGACTTTCCCATCACAGATCCAACGTCAGAACGTGTAACCTGAATCACTGCTCGCACCTTACGACCCACATGCATGCGTAGCAGTCCTCCATTAACAAAAGCTGCTGGGCTTGAAGTATCCATATCTTGCAGAACAAATAGGCAAACATCCAAAAGAAATTCATTTTACAAATACCACAAGTAATTCCCAATCATAATTGTGCCAAAAATTTTTAGCAAAAATCCAAATCTAAACACATAGAAAAGCAACTTTTATCCAAACCAAAATCTAAACACATAGATTTCTAATCGAGCTATGACCACAAAGCTATCACTAATTGCACCAAACCTGCTAGGAAAAACCCAAGCATAATAGACTAACTACCTAGCTATCACATCACCATTTGCAAATCTAAGACAAGTAACATACGGAAATGCCCAAAAAGTTTATTTAAGGCACAAGTAATCAAGCAGGGAAACTAATTTCTCATAACCTAAGGATGCTCATCCAATTTGACTTTTCATACAGCTATTTCCAGGAAATAAAAATCATGTAAATAATTTAAGGATTTATCAACAGTCCGTTATTTCAGTAGATGTGGATCTATTCATTTCACATAATCAAGCGAATCAATGACAATTCTTTTTGTTCTTCATGGTGAAAATTATATAATACCAACATAACAAAAAAAGGAAAAGAAAAGAAAGGTTATGATGTGGAACGCAACGTATCAAACTAGTAGTGAGTTTACTGAGGATTGATTTTGAACAGTTTATTGCTGAGAAATATTAAAGATAAAGGAAAATTTGTAAGAGTTTCCATTGATTTTCTCAGAAAACAAACAGAATCTAGTCTAGGAAGTGAAGAATTACCTGATTGAGCGACAAGAGAAAAAAAATTTTGTTTTGTTTTAGCGTTTAGGGTTTGAGAAAAACAAAAGGCTGAAAAAGAATGCGCGGGCTTTGATGGCGGTAAAATGAAATTATTAGGGATTGATATATATATATATATATATATATATATATATATATATATAGGGAAAGGCAATGTGAGCGTATTGCGCATACCCATTTAAACTACAAGTTTGGTTTGCCGTTTTATCCTACTCATTCCAGGGTAAAATAGAAATTTACTATGGTTGAAATAATTTGTCATTTTTTAATTTTATAATTCAAGATTTTTTTTGTCTAAGAATAATTTTTTTATATGTAAGGTTTTCTTCAACTCTTCAAACTAATTACCACTCGTTAATTTTGTTTATTTAAGTTTTAAAAAATGGCACCATTTGGCCACATTTCCCTCTCCAATAACAGAATATTCAAAAAAAAAATTTATTGCAAAAATTATTAATAAATAATATTTTTATTGACTCATTTAAACAATAAAAAAATTTTACATTTTCAAAAAATAAAAATATTTTTTTAAAAATATTTTTTGAAAACCGATTTATGGAAGAAAAAAAAAACATAGCCTAATTGCATAAACAAGGGGATACAGATAATACATTTTAATACAATTTACAAAGAGCAAATAGAGTGGCAAGGGTGAAAATGAATTGTATTTCATGCCTCTGCCATTACATATTGCAAGATTTGCTAATTGCATCTCATATATCAGTAATTGGCCAAAAATAATTAGCAGTGCATGGCTGCTATTGCTCAATTATGCCACCTAGGGCTAGAACTTTACCAGTTCCAGAGACACAAAAATCTTCAACAAATGGAATGGTTTTCCACACAGTCAGCTTCGTCGGCGTTCGTGCTTCACTTAGGAACAAAAATGTTATCACTTTAGCAACCATGTATTCTAAAAGTATCTTAAACCAATTAAGTACCAGAATCCAACATCCAACAGTTTCATCCTTTCCTATTCAAATGGAGGCATAATGAGAACCAGCCACTTCCAGAAGCGCAAATTGCCAGTCGTTAGTGAGGTTCGTGGGGTCATCAGATGATTCAACAATTACCTCAGATGGCTGTCGATGTGACTAGTGTTCAATCAAAAACTTTTGATACAATTCAGTGGTATACGTCAGATCATAACCAACATAAAAACATGCAGCATTCATTTCCAGAGGCCCAAATCAAGCTTTCAGTGGTACTTTTTCTTTTTTTCATTTTTCCATACCCCAGCAATAACCAAGAGCTATTTATATTCCATAATACACCAAAATATTTCAGGTACAAACCTCAGAAACTGAATTTCCAGGAGGATGAAAGCTCGTTATAGCTGTAGCCCTAAATCGAATAGTAAAGGTCTTGAAAGGCACAGCTGAAAAGCCTTTTCCCAATGCTTTTGCATATACCTTCTGGAAATGAGACCAGATTGTAGATCACTCGAGAAAAATGTGAACACATTACATTTCAACTATGATTTGTCATGCTTTGGGACAGATTTAGTATTAATATCTTGCTTACTTTGAGAGTCAATAATTTGATAAACTCCTGACTCTGAACTTCAGGGTCTGATATAGCAGTTAAATGTTTCACTTCACAAGGAGAAAAATAGCGTTGAGCAAAGGCTACAATATTGCTCTTTATCCTTCTTTGCTGCTCTTCAACATCAATGCCAATCTACAATTACTGAAAGCGAATTACACCAAGTTGGAGCATATGTAGTAACAAAACTTTAACAAAGACAAACCCAACAAACTTATTTTTGTAGCAGATATATGAATCATCTCACAAGAACAACTGGATGATAATAGGACTTACTGGCACATTTACTGTCACACCACAAGCAATCATAGAAGATGTGTGTGAGATATTGAAATGCAAGGGTGGTGGGCTGAAGTTGTCCTCATTTTGCCATTCAACCTATTTGTATACAGAACAAACAAACAATTATAATATGCAAGAACATAGAATGATATCAAAAATATGAATTTGAATGATAAGAAAGCAGACTCCTCGAACAAAAAGGATAGCAAATCCTTTATTAATCCAAGATAGAACTAACCTCAGGCTTCCCACAGATGTTCTTCCTAAATTTCAAAGATCGTGGATTCATTTGACAATTTGTCGGTTCTAGCAATACAAAAACTATGTAAGTAGTCTATGCAAAGCAAGTTTTATAACTATATAAAATCTAGTCCTAACATACACACGGAGAAAACATTCTTTGCAGATAGAAAATTTCACATTGTTAGCTGGCAATTAGTGGTAAACCACTTATGCAAAGTAGACATGATGCAAAAATATAATAAGAAAAAAATGGCAAGACTATTCCTTTGGTTTGAAATCATGAGTGTCAATCACAATTCTAAGTAATAGCTTAAACCTTCATATAGGAAAGAGAAAATCAGATCACATATTAGGATTATAGCAGTTATTTTCACCCTCAATAAGATGGTGCATCTATACACCAGTGATACATTGAACATGAATCGAGCAATTTTAATTATATTTAAATTGACAATTTGATCTAATTCTCACAAAACAAGAAACACACTGATACCAACCCTTTTGTACAATTCCTAGAGCCTCAACAAACCTTGACAGACTATGCAATGTATACATAAGATAAATAAGAATATCAGATTTCAGATATGCTGACAGTTTTTTATCACTTTACAACACAGCCTAAGATAAAGAAATAATATGTACAGAATAATAAGCACAACAAAAAGGGAACCTACATCTGGCAACGATGGTGCGAACCAAAGCTTGAGCAAGCAGAGCTCCTTTCTTCAGCTGGTCTCCACCCATGCGGTTAACACTCTCCCTTTCACATGGTGATAAGAGTTCAGAATACTGATTTAGAAGAGCCACACTCTTCACCTCATCGGGCATTATGTACCAAAGATGGGTTTCCCTTAAAACACCAAAAACAAAAACACAGAATAAGAATGAATGAACAAAAAAAGTTCATACTTTTAGCACAAATCTTAGAGATTGGAACACCAAATAGAACCCATGGAACATCACCAAAAAAAAAAAAAAAGAAGCAAATTTGCAAGGTACCCATACTAATTGAGTGCATATATAACATAACTTCTAAATGAAAACCAACAAATTGGCAAAAACAGGGAAAGAAATCATTACATTGGAGAAGGAAATTGCAGGGGAACCAGAGGGGCAAAGAAGCAGAAAATTTTCTGTGAAAGTGTCGTATATGCATCTCCAATTTGGCTTTGCATGGAAATTAAAAAGACTTTCAAAGTTTTTTTTTTTTTTTTTTAAGCTTGAAAACAACGAAAGGGAACCATGAAACGAGAACATGTAATCAGAACGAACAACTTTGAGAATTAAATCTTTGAAATACTCTCATATTTAGGACAGCTGGCGTTTGGGTTTTTGTTATGAAATAAGAATGGCGTTAATGTTAATGATGTGCAGGTGGGCTGGACCAGCTTCGCTCTCCTCTTATGGGCCCAACTTTCTTTATTTTACTGGATAGGCTCTTAAAGTCTAATTTGGAAGAAACTTTTATGCATTAACAAATTTTCAAAGCAAGATCATTGAATCGAGTCTTTGAAAAATAAACGATTTATCCTTGCATTTGGCAATGCAGAGTAAATCATTCATTGAATCAAAAAGGGTCAAATCTTTAACTACGAAGCAGGGAATATTCACTGTTTTCGAATTGCAGGGTTCTTTTTTATTATCTTTTTCTAAATCATTAAGTGCAAAACTACAATCAGACAGACAGGCAGAAGAAAAGCAAAAGTCAATGTTCAGGTCAGCAACACAAGGAACTTGATTGATTAGAAGCTTTAACAATAAAGTACCGTGAACACTAGAAAATGTTAGAATAAGCGAGGAAATGTCACTATCAAGCACTGAAAGGTTAAAGAATTTCCACCCAAAATCACATAACACACATGGACTCATACACTATTTCCAACAGAAAAAGAAACGGAAACACAACATATCAACTTTTACCAGTTGGCATTTCCCTCCCATCCTGACCCCATCTGACTACAACCTAGCATTCAAGGCCATTCACCTCCAAGCTTCAAACAGCTCTTCCCTTGAATTTATCCGGCCGACAATCCTTGTTCCCTTGCTCTTCTCTACAGGTCCTGCTGCAAGATCCATTGACCAGTCATTTGCCTTCTTCGATCCCTTCTTTACACTTGAACTGTTTGATTGACCAGTTCTGCTCTTTCCAGATGTACTTCGGAGACCACCTTCTTTGAGTTCATTGGCTAAAGAGTTCACTTGAGAAACCACAGTGCAAGGACAGTTATCAGCTAGAGATCGACTTCCAGCACAAATATTCTCGATTGAAGTTAAGAAACTTTGAGAGCTACTTTCAATTGTCAAATTCTCTTCAGCAGAGTGAGTGGGGCTCTCCATTGCAGGTTCTTGAGCAATAAAAACTTGTTCTCCTTCACTTTGGTTTTTAACCTCCTCATTGACATCTTTGTGTAGTTGTGAAGAGCTTTGCTGTCCATTCTTATCAGAAGGCTCTAAGCGAGAAACAGGAGCAGAGTCTACCATAGAATCTTCTCTTTCTTTAAGTGTTCTAATAATAAGTGTCTTCAGAAAATTCATTATCTGGACTGCATACATCAATGCAGTTAAAGGATCTGACATCTGCAATAAACAGCAGAAGAGGAGGTCATTAAACTATGAATGGGCCAGATTGCAAGAGTAAACCTAGATGATATCAGCTATAGCCACACACAACCCTAAATACTATAATCAAATTACAACTTTGATAGAAAAAAGTTACTATCAGAAAAATATACAGTCCAATTTATATGGAGGAAGACCTTTGGTATGCTTCAAGGTGCCCCAGAAAGGACTTTCTGAAGTAGAATGAACTCTTTGTCTTGAAGGTAGATCATATGTTGGAACAGAAAATGAGTGTGCTTTTCTAATAAATTCTGATTTTCCTCATCTTTTGAAAATATAAAAATGCTGCGAGTTTGTGTGCAAGGGTATAGGTGATGCATCCATGTGACAACCAGTATCAAACGATATGCTTAAAATAGTTAGCACCTTTAAGCCAAGGAATATGGAAAAAAATTTTGTAGAACAATCCAACAAAGGTTTATCAACTACATCAAGTTGGCTCAAATATCAGTAACCAATAAATCTGCAAGAGCTTTGATATATGCATTAAAAACTACTGAAAGATATTTACTCACTTGAGTCATGTTTGGAGCAAACACCATGGCAACATTGCGTGCATTCATCTTGTTCAAATGTTCCAGTTGCACAACATCGGCCATTAAATTTATTGCCCAATCCAGTAGAGCAGCTTCCGTTGGAGGAAGGAGCATTACAAGCCGAGCACACTCTTCTTCTGACTGGGATTGAATTACCTGTTCAGGAGGAAGAGAGTCCAAGACACCACTAGGAAGTTCTCTAAACCAAGCCTGCAGAATTATAAACACATCAACCAATCACAAAACAGTTCAATATGGGATGTTAACATTATTTGCAGGTATCTTGCAGCATTCTCAGCCCATGAAATAGTTTGATTCCTCCTCAATGGTTTAGTCACTAATAAAAAGATTATACTCATAAAAAAACAAGTAGAGATGCATATGAGAAACATGTTCATGATACCCAAATAAGACCAGCAGCTTTTAAAGAGCAGAGAAAATACCTTTATAAGACCTGCCAAGCAATGTACATCTATCCCATCTGGTATAACTCCCCTATTTAGTTGTTCTCTGACATACTCCTCCTGACTGTTCTCTGCATTAATTCTGAAAATTCCTTCTGCCTAAAGAAATAAATATAAGAATTTAGGTATTAAAATTTGATACTACAAGCAACTTTATAGCAATAGAAGAGAAGAGAAGGATAGTCACATACCCGGAGACCTCCTTGGGCATACAAATGCCTTTGCATCAGGAGTAGTATTGTTGGCACACTATTCCCTCTAGAGTCAAATGAAAGTTGCATAGATTCTGTCGAAACTCCAAATACATTTGCACTGCACAATAAAGGCATCTTAGTGAATGAAATAAAGACTTTTGACAACTCTGATCACAAAGAAAGGTATCATCATTTCTATCTCCACAGATTCACTATATCCACGGTATCAACTATAAAATTGTGCATGATCTTCAAACTGAACACTGCAGACCAAACAATTAAACAAGCATAAAATTGATATAATTTCAGTAATGTTGCAAAAAGGCATACAATGCAGAGAAAGACTTGAACTTTCGTGGAAGAAATTTGCATTGACAAACTGAAGAATCTATCTAGTTCATTAAGAATTTACTTGGTAAAACCCAACGGTCGTTAATTACTGTGTGGAATTATATAAAAGAATCTTCATGGATATATCAAGAAAATATCCACAGTAACCAATATAACCAAACCCCAGAAAAAAATTCTGTACAGACTACCTTTTTATTGATAATCAAGAACAAAAAAAATCAAGAAAGATGCAAATTGTGTCAAACCCAGATGAACTTTAATGATAATTTCCAAGGAGAAAAAAGGATCTTCATTGATAAACTTACCTGGCACTTGGGGCTCTCCTGGGGACCTCAGGCTCAAATTCAACCGGCAAACCAAGAAATCCATGGAATCTATCAAAAGTCACATGAGCAACTTGTCTAACATTGGTAGGCAACCCAATTTCCATTGAACAAAGCTCTTTACTTTCACAAATGCTACACCCAATCAAAGACTTCCTAAAAGCAGCCACCAAAAGTGCTAACAAAGACAGCTGATCCCCTTCCCTGTCCTTTTCTTTCCTCTCTTCCCCTTGCCCACTCTCTTTTTCTTGGTCACTTTCGTGGGCTATTATACTTTCCACAGAGTTTATACTAGAGTTAATAAGGGCATGTGGAGAGCTGGAAGGTGAAGAGAAGTGAGATGGGGATGATTGGAGTACTTTAGTCATCGTGTTCGTCCTTTATTGGGGTCAAGAACTTAGAGCCAAGAAACAACTTTTTTATGGAAAATTTGGCTTCTTTGGAAAGGACTTAATGCAATAATGGGATGTCAAGACTTGGTATCTATGTAGAGTTGGATTGAAGGAAAGATTTTGGATGGTAGGAAGCAACTATCATAACTTTTCTGGTTTTCTTTTGTTTTTCATTTAATTTTCCTGGCTGGCTGAGGGCTGTGGCTTGAGCATTGAAGAAGCAAAGTGTAAAGATTGAAAATTTAGGGGATGAGAGAGAAGTGGCGGTGGGTGGGGAGATAAAGAGGATTGGACAAGAAAGATAAAGAGAAAGAGGGTACCAGCTACGTAAGTCCCGAAGCCCATTCTATAAGCAAATGGGGACCCTGCTTCTCTACAGTGAATTATATCCTTTTTTTTTTGTTCCACAGCCAATGAAATGTTGCCATCTAAGCATATATGGAAGGAATTCTTTCACTAGTTTGGAACCATTCAATTACATAGTTTTGAACCCTTTAATTTGATGGACTTAGAAATTTACGTTTTACAAGATTTGGGAATTTGAATATATAAAAGGATTTGCTAACTTTTTAAGAAAAAATGGCAGATAATCCCAACATAAAAGAAAAGTTGTCATACATAAATCCAACTGGTTTTGACTTCTGACAGGTTCAAGACACCCTAGTCATAGTCCTAGTTTAACTCCATCGTGTCAGCATCAGGGTCCCACCGGTTTCCTAGTAAATGTCCATCCCTTGAGGCTTCAGCCTTGAGGTAACCCCCAGCTCAAAACTCAACAAATATTGTCCCCTCGTGCTTTCTGGGTTTATCATCGAAGGAAGACATTTTGTCCCAGTAATTATGAAACTAGTCTGCTGGTGTTAGAAACGAAATTAATTTTAAAGTTCAACTTGATTGATTAATCATCGTCAGGATTTGCTTATTTGCTAACATTGCTGTTAATGATGGTTAATTAATTTATGCTTAATTAACTGAAAGGGGTGGTTACCACCCCTATTTTCTTCTTTGGGGTGACAGCATTTTTTCGGGGTAATTAAAACTTCATTTTTAACATTTTTAAGGCACTGCTTCAGAATGATGCATAGAGTGTCCCCAACCTCCACATACTTTAATTAAATTGGAAAAAACATAGCAAATATGTTAAATTATTTTTGGTCTGGTGGGAGATAGATTTGCTTGAGATCGAACTTGTTAGATTTATCAAGGAGAAAAACGCTTGAGAGATATCAAAATTAAGATTTTGAAATACATTTGACACTCAAATCAGTGAAATATTTGAGAAAAGAAAAAAATGCAAATTGAAGAAGAAAATAGAGCAGTAGAAAGTAGTGTAATTTGCATAATTTTGATTCTCATCGTTCCCTTTTAATATTTCATGAGTAATGATGTTACTGTTAATATAAATAATTATCTATATTAAAAACATGTGTAAAATTATATATAAGAAGTTATGTGTAAGTATTGATCATGTGTTATATCGCACAATTAATGAAAGTGTTAATTACATAACCACGAAGATACAACAAAATATAAAGAAATTAGCAGCCTGCAACCTGCATCCTGGATTAGACAACAATCACTCTATGTTTGATTAATTATGATCTCCATAGTCTCACCAAAAAATTCTTGATAAAGCATTAGTCAACAAAGTCCTCATTAAGAATATGAAGAATAGAACGATAAGGAACAAAACAAGGAAAAGTGTTGCCCAAGTAAATTAAGCTGTCAACCATCATATCCTTAATCTTAAACATTGCCGCCAAATATTTCCACACAACAAAGGGTCATAAAAAAATGGGTTCCATTTAGGAGCTGTTGCCTGTTGGGTGAGGTTGGATAAGACCATGCATTAAAACCTTTTATATCCATCTAACCTTCAAAGCAGAGAAATGTTATTAATACCCAAATCATTGAATTTCATTGTGATGAAGCAATCAATACTCGATACTTCAAAACAGTCCCCTTTGAGAAGGCAGTTGGACTCAGCAGCAACGGGTCCTTGCTTGCGGCATCCTTGGTGCTTTTTCAAGGACTCCAGGAACAGCCTCGAGAGCAAAAGGAAAAAGAAAAGTGAAAGTGGGAAGGAGCTGTTGTCTACGACCACTAGTTGTTGAGCTCCATGCAAAAGAAACTTTAAGCGAAGCTGACCGTTGTAACTCTCCACGGTATTTTTTCCCTTTTAACACCTTGGGAGATTAAGGTCCACTGTTTCAAATTTAAATCCAACTCGTGGGTATCATCTACATTTAACATGACATGAAAATAATATAAATAAAAAATATGAAAATAATGTAATTTAAAATTTTAATAAAAATTATAAATAAATTTAATAAAATAAAAAAATTATATTTTATTATTTTTATGTAAATATGAATTATAACATATAATTTTTATATAAAATTTATCATAAATATAATATTTATATAACACGATGACATTAATTGTCAAATTTAATATTATTTTTCATCTGTATATTTCGTACCTAAAAATTGATGACACCCTAAACTCTAAATTAATTATATTAAATCTCAAAATTTATATAAAATTTGATGACTTGATTAAATTAAATCTCAAATTCTATACAAGCCAATTTGTTTTGCTCGACTCTCGATGCAAATTACATTTGCCAAAATCCAACGGCTCCAAACGAATCTAGAGCAACTTTTAGAGGTACCCTTTTATTTCCTTTTTATCAAAGAAATCTTTGAAAATAGGAGAAAGCCTCATCAGATTACAAACCAAATCATGAGCTAAAAATGCATATTATAGGAATTAATCCAACTGAGTGGCTTCCCTCGAAGGAACGACAACAGCATCTCTGACTAGTCCAGTTTTATATCTGAAGCAAATGATATGTACTGCTCAAGTTTTCTGGTTACTCCATATCTCAATAGTGAAAAGGAAATTTTCTGAGGCTTACAACATGGTTCCTTTTTCACTAAGCTACATGGGGGTAAGCTTGCAGAGTTCAGATACCTCTTTCAAAAAAAAAAAAAAGCATTTTTTTCCTGAAAAAATAAAGGTGTTATCAACATTGGATAGAAATTCATCTAATGCCAAGCTCCAGGTGCAAAAGTGAGTGAATACATTAAAGGGTATCAAGGACCAGAAACAAGCTTTAACAAATAGAAAAGAACAAGTCCCAATCCAGGCCTGAGCATTTAAAATAAGTATCATTGCTACCCTTCTCTACATTCAATTAAACCCATCTGGATTGCACAAAGGGCAATCCATCAGGCAAAGAGAAGAAAATGAGAGAGCAAAATTCACAGAGATCCATTCCTACAAATTCTCAATTACTTAACATATCCCACCCCAAACTAGCAGGCTAGCACTGAGGCTATCCAAACAACAGAGAGTAAGAGAGATACATCAAGCGATTTCCAAATTTCCAATAGAAAAACCAGAGTCACTGCATTTTGCCTACAGGTTCAAGTGCTTCAACAGTAACAACACTATTCCCTCCAATCACCTGCAGTGGATTAATATCAATTACAATGAGGCTAACAATGAATGGATATACCGGATTGACAATTTAAGCATAGAGCAAGGTACTTAAAAAGAAAAAATATTAGGAGACTGACAACCATGCCTATGTCAATTTTCTCATTGCCATTCACCTCCACAGTGTTGTCAACCACTATATTCACAAACTGATCAAACCCACGAAGTGTACCAACAACCATCCGATTTGCATTCAGCTTGACTACAGTATTACATACCAATAGATTCACACAATTAAATTGGTTCCATTGATGCATATTACAAATCTATGTAAATTAACAATATGCAAGCCCATGATCAAAAGGTAGTTTTTAATTTATGCTTACATAATACAAGGCTATGTCCCTTTATATTTTTTATTTTATATATGTCAGCCTAGCAGGTGCAACTTACAATACCAATTAACAGCACCGACACAGGCATCAAGGGACAAATTCCTGACACACTAAGGCAAGGAGTTATTAGCATAAGACACAGTCTTCAACTATCATAACCCGGAAATAGACCGTCTAATGGACAAAAATATGAAATTCCATGGAGCAGGACAGTCTCGAGTATCAACTCAAATCCTAAAAACACGCTCACAGGTGAGAAAAAAATGCAAAGACCCTAAAACCCAGATCTAAATCACAATTTAGTTGCAATACTATTACAAATGAACTTTTACACCTACATTTAGAACCCTTTCAGCTACAACTACCCAAACACTCAACTGAGCTCAACTCAGTTTAAAGACGCATCAATCATCACGCACGAAAAACTTAACCAACCAAATTACGGCTTATGTGAGCAAGTACTAGAAAGAAGTAATAACAAATAGTCGTATAGAATTGAAATAAGTAAGAGCAAAGCAGGAAAAAAAAAAAAAAAGCTTACTCTGGAGTTTCTTGTCCATGTATCTGTTATAAACGACAGCTCCAATAAAAAGAAATTAGAAATTGAAGAATTGAAGGAAAAGAATAAGAATTGAAACGAGAGTGTGAAAAAGAGCTTACTTTTTGAGATCTGGAGGCTGGCCGGATCTGCTAATTGTGACAGAAATTCAGTCCACTGCCGATTGCGGAGCAAGATAGATAGGGTACTAGAGTTTTAGGGAGGAAGCAACGTTTTGACACTCGACTAAAAATCAAATTCTCTAGAAATCTTAGAGGGTCTGGGCTTAAACGACAGCGGCTTCATGAGGTCGGCGGATGAAAAATAAAATTACGGGGTGCTGCGAGAATCGAACTCGCGACCTCTCGCACCCGAAGCGAGAATCATACCACTAGACCAAGCACCCATGGATGCAATTAAATTCAGAGATAACTTTTCAAACTGCTTTAGGCAGAAAAAGTTTTTTTCGGGATTTTTTTTTTGAAATTCTTATGATAAAAAATACACTTTTTTTTGGGTCCATTGCTTATTTCATGAATGTAATATACTCGAGTATTCTCTCGTTTTAAACAAGTAATACATAGAAAAGTAATGAAGAAAAATCAGACATGGATCGACATCTCTTTAGAAACTTCCGAATATATTCTATTTATAGTAGTCATTTATATTTCAAGGAATATATACAGTGACAGACACGGTACATTTGTTTTCTCTGCGAGACGCATTCTCCACCGTTTTGAGTGTGGTTCAAACGGTGAGTGAATAATATCACTTGTTCAAGCTCTGCCACTTGAAACACTTTCCTCAATGTCGTCAGCAGATGGCAGGACACATTCAAAACCAAGTTACATGATAAAAATATGAATTCAGGAATATGAGACGATCGAGCTCAAGAAACATGAACTGATGAACATATATAGCTTTGCTGTTAGCGTACGTTGTAATAATAAACAAAAACTTTTATATGTATGGAGAATAGATAGAAACCATATTGAAAACGATGAATGGATTGGATTGGTTGTGCTTTCATCTTTTTCTGTGGATGTGGTCTTACCTTTCCTGCACAGCCGGATTATGGGCCATGAAGAATAACATTTTACCCTTTACGTTATGGCTTTGCTGCCTTTACTCTAGTCAACTCGATCGGTTTGTCTTGTAAATGATTTTCTACTGAGTGTTGACCTCGCCCATTATTCTTTCTTTCCCCGGTGCACAAGCCCTAAAACCTTGCCTTTCTCTAGATGCCTGGAGCCATGCCAATTGCCAATTGCCCACCCCCAACGCCTTCCAATTTTCTTCTTTTTTTTGTCATTCCAATCCTTCTTGTCTCTCACCTTTATTCTAATAGGTGGATTATATATTTGCTCATTGCTCCTCACTCACTTTGGGGATAGAAGATATCGAGTCTAGCTAGAAACGGAAGCAGTAGGTGTGCTTGACTATGTTTGATTTGATTAATTAGCTTAATCCACTTCATGAAACCCACCAAACTTAAGGCCTTCCACCAACTTTTCTCCATTTCAAAATATAGAAAATTTGTCTGCTAAAATTTTTATTCTTGTTTTTCTATATTACATAATTCTTTTGGTTTGCCTGTGTTGTTTTCTTTACACTTCTCAACCAACATTTCAACAAGACAAACGTAAATGTTAAGAGTTCATTATTGAAGATTATGAACATCTCTAATTCCCTCATTAAACTTTAGTGTTTGATTCAATCATGGAATGGATTATATTGCATCACTCAATTTTACAGAAACTGGATTGAGATTCCCACCTTTAAAAAAGGAAAGTGAATAAGGCAGAAGTGGTTCATTAATTTGTTTCCTTGAAGATTTGCGGTTGTTTTGTGGATAATCAAAGAACCATTTAAATGATTAGTAGTTGGTATTTGATACAAATGCAAAAACGATTCTTTAGCAGTTGATTAGTTAAACACTCTTTAAAGGGTTATTTATTCCATCAATATTGATGGATTTTGTGCTCTTTAGCCCTTTTACCATTCCTTAAGATAGAAAATCAAACTCTTTTTTTGGGATTCTTAGCCATTCAACAGTGTTTTACTGATAAATGTGGTGCATAAATGTCCAAACGATCAAAATTCAAAATGGGGTGCACCTCATCATTGATCTCAAACATTTTTTAAAGTCAGAAGTTAGATTCTTAGTTCCTGTTTAACTATTGATGAGTCAAAAGTAAAATGTCAGATATTTTTTATAAGTTAGAAACCATGTTCACAGATTCCCAATTATGTGGAAGTCAAAAGATGACAAATTCTGAGACATTCCCTCTCTAGCCACATACAAACTCTCCTACAGCCACTATGTTCTTTGAAGAATCTAACCAAGAAGGTGAAGGTCATGGGTGGAGGTGATCGAGAGCAATCACAATATGAATGTTTGCTATGGGAATTTGAGCAAATGTCTCCTACAGCCTCAACACCATCTGGGTTTTTTGCTATTTATGTAGGAGAGGAGGAAGAAAGATTTGTAGTCCGAACCAGCTTCCTGTCTCATTCACCCTTCAAGATGTTGCTGGAGAAGTCATACAATGAATATGGTTTTGAGCAAAGGAATAAGCTAGTTGTAATGTTCCACGCAGTGTATCCACATTTAAAGAATTTGTGAATGCTGTGAGATGTTGTAATGGAAAGTATGGTCATGGAAAACTAGTTGAGGAATTTCTTTCGAAAAAAAATAATAAAGGTAGCTTCCTAGTCTCAGGTCATGAATGCATTAGACTTGTAGTTCTCTTGTATCATACACATCCAGCTCTGCTGCAGTGCTGATTTTGGTCATGTTAATCACTTTCGTAGGTGGATTAGGTTGAGTCAAGTTCAAAAGAAAATAAGGTGAATTAATTCTTAAGTTCTGGTTTTTCTTCTTCTTGTAAATATTTGCAGCAAGATTTCAGAATGTGATGCTGGAAGACAATTAGCTTTGTTCTCTTTCCACCCCCTTTGTTTACAAGAGAATCGACTTTCTCTGCTTCTTCCTCTCTCATTCTTCTATTTACGCCAAATCAGGGACAGGAATTTGGCAATTCAAATACAGTTTTGACTCTGATATTTCTCAAGCTTTCTTCAAACCAAATCACTATAACCTTTTTTAATTCACATTTCAAACTTTATGTTTAGCGGCCTATGCATTTTTGCTGCTTTTAACTTTTGGGGGTAAAACAGAAACTACATTCTATCCTGATCTTTTCTTTTGGCTCTGGAGAGAATACTTTCGTTTAAGGAACAACCAAAATCAAGAAATCTGCATCCGAGATGCAGAACATTCTGTTGAAGAGTTTACTTGCATACTACTATGTATCTAATAGAAGTGAAGCTAATAACTTGATTCTGAAATCTCTACTCAAACCTAATTTTCTCATACCACCTGTTTAGTTTCTCAATTTATTTGGTTTGGTTTTTAAGAAACCATAAAGTTTGGTTGGGATTCCAAATTGGGCACTAGTCATTTTCGTTCTTTTAGTCTAAGAATGTCAAGAACTTGTTTGCTGAAATATAGAAATTCGAAATCTCATTCATTTCTCATTTATGAGAGCAAATTAGTAAATAAATTGTTCATGAGCACGATGTTCACTGAATAAAAGATCTAGCTATCATTTTCCTCGTTATTGACACTACTATCTGCGAGAATTCTTTTCATAGAATCAATCAGTTCCAGCATTTGTTCTCTTGAGTGCAGTGGCGCCGGATACACACAAGCACAATCCAAACATCCATCGCGTATGGTGTCAAATATGGCAAGAGTAGGACCGACACCGTGAACCGAAGAGCACCCCACGTAATCCACCATGCCAATTTCTTCGTGCAGTTTGTTGGATTCATCGATCACAGGGTCTTCAAAAACCGAAATGAAGGCAGTTCTCAAGGATGATGACGCAGTCAATCCAGGGTTTTCAATGGCCTTACACATGAGGAAGTTCAGGTCATTCATATCCGTGAAATGCTTCTTGTTGTTCTTGGCGTTGGAAAAAGATGTGTAGCATCTATCCGCTAACTCCCATATATCTTCACTGGCAGTCACGTCATGCGTATTTAAAATAGCAGAATGGTAAAATCCTGAATAAAAAATATCGAATGTCATCATGATATTATACGCAATTTTGCCTTAATCTAGGCCGAAGCAATTCCTGCATATCACTTGGTGCTCAGAAGAGAATCACAATTTTTTTCCTTTTGATAGGATTAGGATGACAATGGCAATGAACTAGGACTTACCAAGATGATTGCTACTGAGAACAGGGTCAAGAATGGATCGACAGTCCATGAGGGTTACAACAGCATATTTTTCGCTCTGCTGATCAGGAAAGGCTTTAGTGGACCGAGCTGCAATCAAACCAGCAGCTGCCAGGGCTCCACACAGTTTAATGCCTCTTGATTTGCAACCCTGTAAATGGTATTATAACATTAGACACAAAGCACATAAATATGGTACCCGAAGATCAACAATGATGGTAACATCAGTGAATTGTTGATGAATTATTACGAGCAGTAAAGTAAGTTAACCCGAAAGGCTACCATGCATATCAAAATATATATCAGAGCCAAATAAAACTTAATGCAAACATCAAAACATAAACATGCTATTGAATAGAAGATCCCTGAAACCTTGGTCCAAAAATTTATACCTACTGCCAAATCGTGAAACAAAAAGGCCTCTCTGTGATAAGTGCACAAGCATGCATAATTTTGGAGTGGCCTAAAATCCCATATTAATTACTGCTATAGCCATATGGTGATGGTGAACAGACAGAGTTGAGATAATGGTCCAGCACTGTCTACGCTTTATTTAAATAGTTTAGAAACTTGATGCCTTGTCACATTCACAGCTCACAACCAGGAAATGTATAATGTAGCCCTTAGCCCCACAGCTCTTTGTAGTTACATGGACTATACTCTTTCCCATTACCATGAGCTTTCGGCCATCATTTGGGAGTTAGAACCAAGACAAAAGTGATAGCATCTATTGATCCTGATTCCTGAATAATGATCCGGCTCTTTTGGACCTTTTGGTTCCACTTTAATGGGTTTTTTCTTGGTAAATGGGCGTACTACTCGTACAAAATATTAATTAAATCATAGAAAGATGCAGCTAATCTTCTGTGCCTGACCACAAAGAACTTGAAAATGAGAGTTCCTACTAGATATTTATTCTTATACTTGGTGCTGGTGGCAAAGACTTTGTGAGAACAAAGCTTTAGAATGAAGTAATTAATGTCATGAAGCGAGTGATTCTGAAGACCCTTTTTTTTTATACAATCAGGGTATCCAATTTGCTTTGGATAAGACGTATTCGGCTATATCAATTTGGTGTGTTCAACGTTTTACATTCAAATTGCTCCGTAAACATCGAAAACAAATTCTTTAATCAACTGAATGGGTTAAAATTTAAAACACCCTTTCAAAAGCAGGACCGTGACAAGTTTCTCGACTTTCGTGGTTAGTGGTGACAAAAGAAATTATGCCAAGTTACTGTATAGTCATAAAAAAACTCGAATTTACAACGTTGAAGACTTGCAGTTGGAGACAATCGAGGGCAGACACAAAAAACGACAAGAGATCCATGTAATTTTACCTTAAAATTAACTGGGATGAAAGTGAAAAAGAGAGGAAAACAAATGCCACTTACAGTAACAAGCCTGTCAGTCTCCTCTGGGTCCATCTGCAATCTCACAAGCTGAGAACGTCTAGCCGAATTAGCATCAACAAAGTTCAGATTCGACAGCCTGAAAGAGTTCAACGAATACCCAAGCATGTCAACCCCACGAGCCCAAAAAGGCTTGTTAGCTTTACCACTAGGAATCAAATCTTCAATTCCCAAACTCAATTCGACTTCTATCTCTTCATTTCCCTTCCCTATCTCCTCTATGTTGGCTCTTCCACCACCCATTAACTCCAATAATTCCCTCAACAGAGCCACCGCAGCGGCACGGTCACAAGCTGACGTGTGCAGCCGGAACACCACCACCCACCTTGTCTCGCTGAGAGAGTAAAGGCTGACGAAAAAAACATCCTGCTCAGCTTGGTCATTATCGGTACTGCGGCTCCATGAGTTTCTATTGAGTTCATGTTCGAGTAAAGACTGGTGTGAATCGATGTTGGAATTGCCTGAGAGGCTTTGGAGAATGTGGGAAGTTGATTGGAGATCAAACGATTGGATTTTAACACGAAGATTACGATATGTAACGAAAGAAAAAGTGTTCCCGGAAGCGTCAAAGTGGAGCCTGGAACGAAGGATGGGATGGGAAACTTGGAGCCTGGAAATTGCTGCTTCGAAAAGTGGGATATCTGGGGAATTAGAGATGAGGAGGGACAAGACTGTGATGCCAGTCCCACTCGGCACGGCTCTGCACCAGCTATACTCGGTGCCACCAACTGGTCTAACCTTGGGCTCGGGGGTTTTTGAGTTTGCGTTTTGGTCAGATTCAGACATGGTTGGGAGAGGAAAAATTAAGGCTATAATGAATGGCTGAGGAGTGAAGAAATGGAAATTCGTGGGCGTTATGAACGTTTTTAAGCAAATTTTTGGACTCACTCAAGAGTGATCAAACCAAGTTGGAATTTCATTTCTCTTTCCTTACCATGAGAAAAGGAAAAGGGTTAAATATAAAAACGGTTCCTGTGTTACATATTTTTGTCAGTTTTGTTATCTACAAAAAATAAAATTTTTAATTTAATATTTTAATTTTTATTTTATCATCTACTTTAATATTTAAAATTAATGCCATTAATTAATTTACTAATGTGTCATAAACATCAATTTTTGCAATGCTATCACATATAAAAATGTTCAGTTAATATTACATTATCAATTATTATATCAATATTAAAATAAATTTTTTAAAAATTTTACAAAAATTCTTAAATTTTTTTAATATTTAAAAAAAATTATAAAACAAATAAAAATATGAAATATTTAAAAAAAAAAAAAATTGATGAAAACTTTCAAAATTTAAAAATCTCACAATTTTAATAAAAAATCTTTAAAAATTCATTTAACATAAATACAATTTTCTTAAAATTAAAAAAAAATCACTAAAACTTAAAATTTTAAAAATAAAAAAATTATATATATTTAAAATATTTCAAAATTTTTTAAAATTTTTTTGAATTTTTTAAAAGCTTTTTGAATTTTTTTTATATTGACATAACAATTAATAATATAATATTAAATAAATTTTTAAATATATATCAATATTTTATTAAATTTTCGTATCGTATTAATAAATTAACTAATAATATTAATTGAAAACATAAAATAATATCACATAACTAAATTTTGAATATTAAAATAAAAATTTTATTTTTATAAGCATTAAATTGACAAAAAAATATATAATCCATGATCTATGTTATGTTTAACCCAAAGGAAAAGGAAAATATGCTTTTATATCTTTGATGCCCGAAGAAATATTTTAATCACCCTATTATCCTTGAATGTACAAACAAAAGAAATTATGAAATAAAAGCAAAATTCACAAAAAGATCAAACTACTCCATCCCAACCGTTTTGTTGCGTCCCAAAAGCAGATTCAATTATTGCAGGTCAGTGAAAGATGCACATCAACATTGAAATTTTTGTCTTTCATATTTTTTTGCCCGAGGACGAGCCTTGATGGGTCAATCATCTAATTAAAACTATTAATATCTTCTAGAACGGCAGAGTTCATAAAAGTAAAAATAAAAAGAACCGAAATTTTCTTAGTAATTTGCTGCAACTTAATTTAAATGTTTGCTCCAATACGGCAGTTAAAGTTTTACGTATATTACGTCTAAATTAATTGATTAAATCAAGATTTAATCAATATAATCATATTTTGAGATTTTTTAAATAAGGCATGTTTTGATAATCATGTCATCTATATAAAAAAATGATTCATTTTTTATCAAAAGAATGACTCACTTAAAATTTTATTGATAATTTATTAAAATAATATTTTAAAATTAATTACTTGATATTTAATTTATTTAAAATTATTAAATATAATTCATATTTATTTAAAATTATTAAATGTGAGTCATATATGGATTATTTTTGAATATTTTATGTAAATATCTCATCAATCTTCAATTGTCTTATCACTTAATCTTGATCTTATGCATAAGATGATTGGAATACCAAATATATAAGAGAGAGCCCTTCTATGCACTTTGAGCTTCCTTCCATTGAAGCTACTTTCAAACATTTCATCATTTTTATTCCTTTCTTTCCTTCTTTCCTTCTTTACTTCTGATTAGGGACGGCAATCAAGCTCGTCCCCGACGGATTTCGATTCGACCTGACCTTATAGGGTTGGATTTTTTTTTTTTTTTTTTTTGGGTTTCGGGTTGGGGTTGGGTTGGGTTGAGTAAAATTAGATAACAATTGGGGTTAGGTCGAGTTCGGATATGCCTAAAATCCGACCCTATTCGATTCGACAATATTAAAAAATTATTTTTTAATTAATTATATATATTTATATAATGATATTTTTAAATATTTATATTTAAAAAATAATATTTTTATTAATTTCGAATCGAATCGGATACGATTTATATAATATCGGATCGAATCTGATTCGGATATTAAAAACTTTCGGGTTGGATCGAGTTCAAATTTTATAAAATTCGCTTCAAACCCGACCCGATGTCATCCCTACTTCTGACATCTTACTGATTCGAGTGTGAGAGCACACCATGAGTAATAACTTTGGCATCCCCTAACAGTGTTCTTTGACTGCACCCTCGTCTTACTTCAGTCATGTTTATTTCAAGCTCATCTTCTTCTTTTTAATTAAGATTATCCCAAAAATACCATCAACAATTGAATGCTCGGTAATTTGAGCACATATATATTTTTATCAGATAACATTTAATTTTCGACCTTTATGCATGAAACAAACATCAATTTCAATATCCTATCCAGTTTTTCATAAATTATATTGTTGTGTTTTAATTGCCAACTGGGAAGTTGTTATAAATGAAATAAACATAACAAAGCCGCAATTTTGAGGAAAATAAAGAAAAAGTCCTTAAAAACTTGAGTGAGTTAGGATTTTACTTGAAAAGTGCATGAAGAAAAAAATAGTATAACATCGTTACCATCGTCAAACATTAAGAGTTGATGAAATTTTTGAACGAAAAAAAAAAAATTTCTCTAAAGTATAATTCAAGATTCAGTGGATCTTAAATCTTAATGCATACATACATAAACAAAAATCAAATTACATTACAATAGTGTTAAGCCGTTTAAATTAAAATAAAATGCAAAAATCATAAATTTAATCATATAAAATATTTAACTACTATTAATTGTAAATGATCTAAAGTTTTTGAATAAGTGAGAACATTGTAAATGACAGTAGTTATATGATCTGTTAATAAAATATTAAATAATGTTTGATTTTAAAAGATAAAGTCATTTTTTTGTTTCATTTGCTTTAAAAATGAAAAATATAAGTAAAAATATGTTTGGTAATCGAAAATGAAATTAAATTTTTAAAAAACAAAAATAAAAATGAGTTGAAATATGAAAACAAAAATTATATATTTTCAATTGTGAAAATAAAATATATATTAAAATTTTTTATTGTGTTTTACAAATTATTATATTTGAATACTTTTTAATGTCATTAATTAATTAAATACATATTATATTTATAATTAGATGTCATCTAGTATAGATATTATATATTTATAATACACACAAACAAGTTTGTCACATAGATGTTTATGTGGACAATTATCTTAAATGACACAAAAGATAGTTTTTTAAAAAAAAAGATAATTTATTCTAATTACAAATTATATAATTTTAAATATATTCAATTATCGAAATTATTCAAATTATAATTGAAAATTAAATCAATTTAGAGATATATATTCTAAAATTAAAAATATGAAATAAGGATTTTATTTTTTAATAAATAACCTTATTTAAAAAATTATTTAATTATCAAAATATTTCAAACATATTTAAAAATTACAAAGATTAAGTTTATCTAAATCTTTTAATAATATTTTTTATCTTGATTTAAAAAATTATCTTTTTAAAAAATTCATGTAAGACACTAAAAATTCAAGTAATTTTATGTAAGATTTTGAAAGTTAAAAAAAAAATCATCTTACATATTTAAATAATAAAATTATCAAAATAATTGTATCAATTTGAACTCTAATTATCAAATTTATATTTCAAATAAATACAAAAAATTTAATATTATCTTTATAACTTATTATATCCATTTTAAATTTTACAAAATTAATTTAAAAATGATCCATTTAATCTTAATTGTTATTAAAAAATTCTTCTACAAATTTAAACTACAAATGTAATGTGTTATATATCAAAAAAAAAAATTTTTAGTAACTTTTTTTCTAAGATATATTTTATTACTACTGCAATTTGTTTTTTTTTTTGTTTATAAAATTTTTTAACATATATTTTTTTGTTATTACAGTTTCATTCCTATGAAAAATAATATTTTTTATTTTATTTTTTATTTTTTCATATATTTTTTAATATTTTTCATATTTTATATAATAATTTAGTCAATATTATTAAAGTGAAAATGTGTTAATATTTTTTTATTATTTAATTTATCATTTAATAATATATATTTTATTTTTTAAAAAAGGCATAATTTATTTTTATTTTATATAATTTTATAAGTGTATAAATATTACTGTAAACAAAAATATTCAAAAGAAAGACATAATATTTTTTTTATTGTTCTTCAAAAAAATTATTTTTTAATGACAAGTTAATATATATAAATTTTATATATATTATAAGTTTTAAAGATTTGAATATAATTTAAAAAAAAACTAATTTATATATATTCATATTAAATAAAAAAATTATTCACAAATCATATGGGTTATAATATAGTTAATAATATTATTATTGAATATTTTATTTATTTATTTATTTTTATATTTTAAAAAATAATTTTTATTTTTATTTACTAAATATATTCTTTAAAAAAAATATTTTCTCATAGTCTTAAAATTTTAATTTTATTGATAAAGTACAAATTTTAAAAAGTACAGACCACTTAAAATAAAAAAGAAACTTGTAAATGAGGTGAACCCCAGCCATAATTAAGAAACCAAGCAGTCCATTTTCTAGAGGGCCTTGGAAAGTTCTTGGGCTTTAAAGAAACCTATAAAATTGGGCCACACCGACATTTAAAAGCCTATAGTCTAGAGCTCGAAGGTTGCACCACGAGGTTACCAGACCTGAGCCTCTAGCTTTTATTTTCATCAGCATTTTTCCCTGCATCCACAAGAACGCACTTCATAGTATCAACCAGCTCTTGCATTTGCTCCCTTGAATGCAATGGAGAAGGATAAACGCAAATGCAATCCAGCCGTCCGTCGCGTATGGTGTCGAAAATCGCGATGGACGGGGCGATGCCATGAGCAGAAGCACAACCCATGTAGTCCTCTAGGCCAACCTGTTTTTGCTGGTCATTGGACTCATCAATCACGGTATCCTCAAACACTGACATCAAAGATGTTCTCAAGGATGATGACGAGGTCAAGCCAGGGTTTTCTATGGCCCTGCACATCAAGAAAT